CACACACACACGCGCGCGCGCGCGGGGGGGTGCAAGGGGGGCCTACGGCCTCCCCCCCTCCCGCACCCACCCCGTCGGTAGAGGTTTTCCCCAACAGTACAATCATAGCAATAGTACAATCATGGAAGTCGTGTGCTCCTGTGCAGGGGAGGTGTGAAAGTTACTTTGAGTGAAAAGTTTAACGTTTCTGAACAGGGAAGGGTGTAGAATAATACTTAACATCATACATGTATAGCAGAAATAATACGTTAATTTTTAAACTTCTTTTGTTAATAACTTTTTAACGAAGGACGAGCGACGGTTAAAACTTGTCGGAGGTTACTCACGACCTTGATAACATATGTCAAGGTCAAGGTCATCGGTGCTGCATCCCCTATTCTAAATAATTACCAAAAATTTATTTGTAAACAAATCTAGATTTTTAAATGATTTAAGTCCAACAGAAAAAAAGAGAAAAAAAATTCAGATACAATAAAAAAAAGACCTCATTGTGTTTCCATTTATAAAGGGTATTTTAGTTAGCAGCACCAATTTTTAATAAAACAATAACCACAATAGGTTTATGTACTCTAAATAAGCTCAATAAATTTATAAAGATCCATAAAAATAAAACAGATCTGATTTGTAACAGTCACTTAGTTTATAAAATTGATTGTAAAAATTGCAATGCCTCATATTATACGCCAAACGAAAGACAGTTGCAAATAAGACTAAAAGAGCACAAAAACAACTTAAAATCTGATCTTTCCAAACATTTAGTTTCAGCATACATATTAAATACAAATCACTCAATTGATTGAAAAAATGTAAGAATCCTAGAATTTGAACATAATTATAACAAAAGACTGATTGCAGAGATGATATGTATAAGGTACCTGAGCCGAATAAGGCCCAGGCACCTTATATCTAAATAAAGCCCACTTTTAAATTTATTACTTTAGAACTCGCTTTACGCTTGCAATATATGCTTAAAAGATGTGTCATAGGAAGTAGATAAAAAAAAATTAAAGAGTTGGAATCAATAACAACACGTTTGTTTAACATAACAAAAACTTGTGTGTATGAGGCATTTTTATAACAATCCGCTGCAAAATTTACCAGTATACAATGTTTTATAATTTACTATAATTCATTATAATATTATTCAACTTCCTAACTATGGAAAATAACTAATAAATAATTTTTTTTAAATAAGTATAAGTATTTTTTTTAACATATATTTACTTATTAAATAAGGCCCACTTATGTGATTTTTATTATAGCTATTATTATTTGTTTGTTATGTGTGGAGTTTACGCCAGAGAATAATGATTTTCAATGCTACTATCGTTTAAGAAGCCAAAATTGCATTCAAATTGTTAAAAATGTTCAAAGATTGAAGAATTAATTACAAACAAAATTAAAGATAATTGTAATATTTGAGAGTAGAGTAAGTCCTAAGGAATTTTCTTTCTATGCTTAATAATCATTTTGAAACTGATTTAAAAAGAAAATGTTTACTTTCTTTGTTATTTTCAATTTATTTTTTATTTCGACCTTATTATATTCATATGCATGTAATAAGGCCATGTAAATGTCAGAATTTAATAAAATCTTTTTTTGGTTCATTTATGTATATTCTATATAAATAATATATTTTATTTTTGGGAGTGAATGAAATGAAGATTTGATTCTCACTTACAATTAGTTTATTTCAATATCCTCATAAATAGAATTTAAAAAAAATAAAATAAATTAGATGGGCCTTATTCGGCTCAGATACATCAAAGAGCAAATAAATGGAATTAATTGTAAAAAAGATATAGAGATGTTGGATGAATCACATTTTGACATCTTAAAAGAATTTTCAAATGACAACCTATAG